TCTCTATTGTGTTCAAATTTCTTTAATTTAGTATAATTCGACACCCTACTGTTGTTAGTTCTCATAGTACTTATGAAAATCCTGCCAATCATGTTTAACCAATTATAAATGGGTAAAGTGCACCATTAGAGATCACTAAACTATATTCAAATGATATTTTGGTTACAGACTTTTAAAAGTTATAAAATGATCATTAGTTTATAGAACTGTTATAAAACAAGTATTAGATTTTATCAGATTATAACAAAATGTTTGTTAAATATATTGATTTTTTGTATTTATTATAACCTTGTATTGATTATTTTATAATAGTTTTACAAATTTAATGATTATTTTGTAGTTTTTAAAAGTTCAATAGAATGGACAATCTGTGCACACAGTATGAAAGGTACAAACTTGTCTTTAACCCTAAATACAAAGTTCAATATATTTTGTGGCTGATAAGGACTGTGACCATTCTAATTTAAAGCCTGGATCCAAGCTGTTTTTTGTATTATATTGTATTTTGGGACTGTGGTTTGTATATTTCATGATGCCAACCCTTATATTAGTTTAAATCAAAGTAAGTCTAAATCAACAGCTAATCTGATTTGTTTGTTGTTTGTGTTCCACAAATCTGATAAAAATGGGGGAAACTATGATGGAAAATAATAAAAATAAGGTATTGATGTCATGTGATTGATTTCAGCAGGTCAGAGGTTGAAGATGATGGGAGGACTTGGACTTTGAGAAACAATGGTGCTGGTCTTGTCTTCTGTAGTGTATAAATTTGGGTCTTTTTTAATTATTGAAAAAAAGAGATATGGGAAGGTGGGCGAAGAGTGGAGTTAGTGGAGAGAAGCAAAGGATTAGGGTTAAGCATGTATTATAAATTAATTAGTAATAATAATAGGGGATTAATCCTTTGGTTTTCTTCTTGATTTTGAGGTGGGTGTAGTTATTAAGTTCTCCCATTTGCCCTTCTCCTTCCAACCTAACCAATTCCTTCTTCAATTGTAATTACATGTGTTATCCATGTTTGAGAGTTCACAATGAAATTTCTCTTTCATTTTTCATCAATTTTTCCTTTCTAACTGTGTATCAAAAACTAAACATTGCGTACTTATTCATTTCACCGTAAGCTGTGGCGCTGATTGTATTAGTTCCTTCCATCCTCCTTTTAATTTTTTTAAACTGTTTGATAATATTAAGGGGTTGACATACTCTCGAGTTTTTGATATCGTTTAAATAGGTCACAAGTTTGAGTCTTTATGTATGTAGAAAATTTATGTGGAAAGAATAACCAATCAAAATCAGGTGTATGAAATTGATCAGTCCATATTAATCAACGCAAAGTCTTGAGGAATCGGGAGGGCAACAAAAAAATTATAAAATTTTAAATGTTTTATCATATAGAAAAATTAAATTAAATTAAAATATAAAATTTAAATCTATAATTTAACATACGTAAGAATTGAGAAAAAATTTTAACCTCCATAGATTTAAAAGCAACAAGTTATATTTTAAATTTTAAGCAATTTTCTTTGTCAAAAAAATTAAGCAATTTTAATAATTCCTTTAAATATAAACTATAAAAATTTTAAGATATTTTAGTCAATTTAAGATAATATAACTTTAATTCATGGGTACAAATCCATATACGTTGCTATAAAATTTTAAAAATTTTATTTGTATATTTTGTAATTATATTGAAAATTTTAAAATATATATCTATAAATATATGATTGTTACGAAACAAAATGAATGAAGTGATAAGAAAAAGAGATATGAAAATAAAGAAATTATTATGTGAAAATACACTTTAATTTATTATTTAAGTTACTATGCTGTTAGTTGATAAGGGAAAGATGACATGGAATCTTTTTTAAATAATACAATAATAAATTTAACACCCAACTCTGATATATTATTATATTAATTTAATCTTAATTTTTTAAAATAATTTCAATATTTATAAATTATTTCATTTTGATCTTAATTTTAGAAATTTTCAAATAAAAAATCTGAAAATTTCAAAAAATAAATTGAGCTTAATTTTTTTTATTTTATGAACATAAATTCATGAAACTTTTCACTTTCATTTAATAAAAACTATTATTAAAATATACAATAAATTTTTTTATAAGAAATATATGTAAGGAAAAGCAGAACCCAGAAACCATTTATTTTATTTATCATTTTCTATCTTCTTCCTATTTTCTTGTTCTTCACCGTTTAAACAAACACCATATTTCAATGGTTGGTTATCACGGCGTCACCGTACATCGTCACTATTCTCTTCATCATATCAGTGGCCAAACACCATCATTCCAACACCAAGCAAACTGCTCTTCACCCAAATTCAAAACTATCGTCGACAACATCATGATCATCAAATCCTCGAGTCATTTACTTCTACCCAAAGTTCCTTCCGCTGTTGAAATCCTTAAATCGCATTAAACCCAACTTCTTTTTCTTATCCATTCTCTGATAGTTTGTGAAAACTTGTTTCGGGTAACTTCATGGTTAGATTCATCAGTCGGTTCGGTGTATCTTAAACATTTAATAGTTTAATGAATGTTATATTCTCAAATTGCGAGGATAGTTAAGTTGCGAGAGTGTCAGAATTTAAAGGTTACGTGTTCAATCCATGTTCATTGCATAATTTTTTTATTTATTTTTTGATTTTGAGCATTGTTTTGGCGCAAATGAATTAAATTACATATTTCCCATTTCAATCCAAAAACAATTTTCTCTCTCTTTTAAAAAGTAAACAATAAACGAGATCACTTTTATTCATGAATTTTTGGATCGGGCTCACAATAAATTAAAGTTATTTTACAATTTGACAAGTTCAATTTCTTTTAGGGAATTCATATAATTAAATTTAATTCAAAATCTAGTTTAGATTCGATATGACATGGTTTTAATTTTTTAAATTTTCTCTAAATAAAAATTAATTGAATAAATATATATAATTTTAAACTAATAACAGAAAAATAATATTTAATTTAATATCATAATTTAAATACTTTATATGTCAATATATATATATATATATGTTAATTTTGAAATCACGACCCGTTTCTTTTCAAAAAAAATTTGGATAATTAGTTACATTACGAAAAATTTATTCAATAACTTTCCAATATAAACTCAGATGATAATGGATTTGATCAATGATCGATTTTAATGATTTAAATAATTAAATCCGATTAAGTTTAAATGTAATTTTTATATTTTGTGACCAAAATATAAAAATCTAATAATCCATGATGTGTTACTGTTTCTCCGATATTTAATAAATGGGTAAACTATCCTAAAACATCTTATTATTGAATTCTAGTTTAAGTTTTAATTAAGATATTTGATCATTAAATCATAAATGGAGCGATGATGTAAATGCTACGTCATTATGTTGATATAACTTTTAATATTATTTAAACCATATAGGATCCACCTATTTTAAATTATTGATTTTTTATGTAATATGAAAAGTAATTTATCCTCTTCTTTGATACTTAACTCATCTAACAATCGCCTTAACATGAACAAATAATTTATAATGCCACCAGCCCTCATGAAAAAATAATTACTATGCCACCAGTCCTCGTAACATACACCGAACTCCACGAAAAAATCTTTGATTTTCTGATCAAATAGTGATGTTTTATTTAAAAGTTATGGAATAATATTTGATTGTAGAATTTAACTATTAAAATTTATAAAATGATTATTTTATCATTAATATATTTTAAACTCATCTTTTTATGTTAAAAATTTAACGACAACCTGAGCTGGACGTATCCTACTGATTGTGATATGATAAAATATTATCTCAAAATTTCAAACGACTATCATATCTCAATCAACATGTTAATATCCAACCCAGATTGTCATCAATATTTTAACAAAAAATGACGAATTTAAAACATATGAATAATCGGTTACCATTTTGTAATTTTTAACGAGAAACTCAATAAAGTAACACACTTCAGTCGGGGAACCATTTTCAACACTAAAATTGCTTCAAATTCCATCTTACTTGGTAGCAAAACAAAAACTCGTCGCACTTCATGAAAATAAATCTCCTTTGTTTCCCATACTCAAGTCTAATTACCAGACATTGAGTATAAACTGATGTGTGAGTTAGGGAGGACAATGTCAATCTCGTGTTTAGACTGAGTCAAGTGAGAGTTAACGAGTTTATCAAACTCAAAATTTTGGGTTCCCTTTGTTTTTTTTTTTTTTTTTTATATTAAAGGATCAAATTTTCAATCCCAATAATAAGGAGATTCATTAGAACGAAAATAAACATATAACTCATATTGATTATATTCGAATAAAGAAAGATACAGATTGCATATAATAAGTTAGAAGAATAAAAATATATTTTGGATATTTAAAAAGATATTTTTTAGAAATCTAATCCAATGAAGCAAAAAATAACGATGAAAAAATTACTTTAAGAGCATCGCTCAAGAAGTTATCAGAGTTTAAAAAACTCAATTAAACAAGAAAAAAGAAAAATAGAATAGTTGTTCGATTGTGATAGTAATCAAAATAAGTTGTCGAAACGATGTATAAGTGATAATAGATGACAACAATTAGAATTTGAGGAAAAAGAAAATCCATTTTAAAATAAAGAATATAAAATAAAATAAAAGTTAAAATAATAAGAAGAGTATTAGTGATAATGTGTGTCAATATACTCAAAATTAGTAATGAAAAGATGCATCCACGTTATCGTATTATTTGAATTTTAATGATTCAAAATCTATATATTAAAGTAAAATTAAAATTTAATGTTAAAATTGAAGTAATTAAAAATTCGATTATGAGAATATCTTTATCGAGAGACTTATCACTAAAGATAGATATAATTAGTGATTTGATATAGCTATAAGTTAGGTTTTGGTGCCAAAATCAAAGATAGAGAGGGTTTAAGGAGAATTACCGACAAGACAATCTTACTTGTTGCGTTTCTGGTTGTTGAAGCTAAGAACCCTATAGGAATACATAATCTGATCATCGCCATGAGATGTGCATTTCATCATCGCTCTTCCTTCTTTACCAAATTATTCTAAAATCACAATGCCTTAGATCTTCCCTCTCCTTTGTTGTTGTATGTATAAAATCCACACCAAAAATCAAGTTTCAGTTGCTTCCACTGCCATTGATTTGAGTTTGAGAAATTCCCAAAGCATAAAATGTTTCCATCTTCGTCGTCTCCGATTGTTTACGGTTTGACCCTTTTTCTCCCTCTCTTCCTTCTCTTCATTTTCGCCCCTCAAATCCTTCCTCTCAGATACAACCGGCAACCCTCCCTTATCTCACCCCAAGATGAACTCGACGATCTCCGCCTCTTCAACGAAGCTGTCTCTAAGGCCACCGCCACCTCTCGCGGCGGTTCTCCCAAGACTTCCCATCTGGGTACCATCAACCCCAAGCCCAAAATCGCTTTCCTTTTCCTCACGAACTCCGATCTCGTCTTTGCTCCTTTGTGGCAACGCTTCTTTGAATCGCCATCAAACGACGATCTCTTCAATGTCTACATCCATGTCGACCCTTCCACTAAGATCTCAACCCCGGAGTGGTTTATAAAAGCCAACTTCATCCCGGCGAAAACCACCGCACGCGCCTCTCCGACGCTTATATCCGCGGCCCGGAGACTTCTAGCTAATGCCATCATCGATGATCCGTTCAATTTGTACTTCGCACTGGTATCCCAACACTGTATCCCACTCCATTCCTTTAAGTTCATTTACACTTCCCTTTTAGGAAACCCTTCATCCGCATCCAAAGCGTTTTTGACCCAACGTTCTCATACAAGCTACATCGAGATTTTATCTGAAGCCCGGTATTTGTACAAGCGGTACGTTGCTCGAGGCTACGGCGTGATGCTGCCGGAGGTACCGTTTGAGAAATTCAGGGTCGGATCTCAGTTCTTCGTGCTGGCCAAACGCCATGCTCTGCTTGTTTTGAAAGACAATAGATTGTGGAGGAAATTCAAGCTCCCTTGTTTGTATTCAGATTCCTGCTTCCCTGAAGAACATTATTTCCCTACATTGTTATCAATGGTGGATCCAAAAGGAAGCAGCCATTACACATTGATGAGAGTTAATTGGACCGACAGTGTCAATGGTCATCCACACACGTACCATTCACCGGAGATTTCCCCGGAACTTATACACACGTTGAGGAAGTCATCAACTTCGAGTTATTCGTATTTTTTTGCTCGGAAATTCTCCCCGGATTGCTTGAAACCGTTGATGGAGATGACCAAGGATGTTGTTTTCAGAGATTGAGCTGAATTTGGTAAGCTTCTTAACCAATTCATGCAAAGAGATGTTCTCTATTTGACTGAGTTAACTCGTTTGAGAGTCCTAGTGTAGTGATTTGTAAACAAGTCCCATGATTTCAGGGTATAATTGCAAATTGGGAGTTAGTAAAGTCCAACTTAGGAAAATAAACACTTTTTTCTTCATGGCATCATCGTCATGATAATGATTTTAATTTAGATGAACTGATTACCTATCTGTAAATTTGGTTTGGTTTGGTATTAATCAGCATATAATTTGGCCAAATTTGTCTATATGTAACATATAATCTCTTTAATTTGGTATATTTTGATAATCTACTTTTATAATTTGTTATTTTATAGATCCAAATTGATAACATTGTATCTTTTCACATAATTTGGTCATACAATCAATATACAAGAAAATCTAGTTAATCATATCCAATTAAATTATAACTCCCTTTTTTCTAAAAAAAAAATTAAATTATAACTTTTTATGTCACTCGAAAGTTATTCTCCCTAGAGGTTTTTTGTTCGGGTTTATATGCATTGTCAATAGGTTAAGAAAATTCTGAACATATACTATCTTGTAATCACCTTAAACTATTCAAAGAAAAATCATGTCTTCACTTTAACTGCCACAGTTGACATTATTGTCGATTTAAATATACTAATGACATTATAAATCTAAAATACTAAGTACTAGGGCATTGAATTGTTACTTTTGAAATAAATTCGAATAAGGATAAAAGTAACTTTTAATCTTTGAATTTGATAATTTTTCTCAACTTGATATCTGAATTTTTTTTTTTTGGTTTGTCTTAGTTACTGAACTCGAAATTGTTTCACTTTATTAGAACTAAAAATGGAATTTGTTGCCAATGTTGATAAAAAGTCCAAGGACCAACTTTGATAATAGTTGTCAAATTCAGGGACTAAAATATATTTTACCCCTTTTCCAAAACTTTAATTTATTCACAAGTTTCAAGTACAATGGTCAATCTAAGTAGGCACACACAAAGACAAGTTGTCAGTTGTCTTTAACCCTAAAGAGAGTTTAATATATATTTTTTTAGAGAAAATCGCCTCAGTGACCAAAAAAAAGTTATAATATACGATTTTAACCAACTTTTTTTGGATTTGCCAAAATGACCAACAAAATCGCAACGCGAAATAAAAATCGCAACGCGATCCCCAGAATCGCAAATCAGTTTCCAGAATCGCAACGCGATTCTTGAAAATCGCGATGCGATAGTACAAATTCGCATTGCGATTTTCCATAATCGCAACGCGAATATGAAAATCGCAACGCGAACACATAAATCGCAACGCGTATCCGTAAATCGCAACGTGTATCCGTAAATCGCAACGCGTATGGGTAAATCGCAATGCGTATCCGTATATCGCAACGCGTATCCGTAAATCGCAACGCGTATCCGTAAACCGCAACGTGTATCCGTAAATCGCAACGCGTATCCGTAAATCGCAATGCGTATCCGTAAATCGCAACGCGTATCCGTAAATCGCAACGATAATCCGTAAATCGCAACGCGTATCCGTAAATCGCAACGATAATCCGTAAATCGCAACGAGAATCTGTAAATCGCAACGATAATCCGTAAATCGCAACGAGAATCTGTAAATCACAACACTGAAATTTTGGGTATATAACACTGAAATCATAAACTAAATCCCTAAATCGCAACTCATTCCATCTCCATCTATCACTCTCTCCGGCGACATCCGTTCCTATATCCAACGACATCCTTCCCCATCCGGCAACAGGTCTTAGTTTCGCATCTCGTTTGTTTAGTTACAACCATGAAATCATCTAATGTTGATCATGTTTGGATAGATTTGTGTTTTGGAGGGTCATGGGATAATGTTAATGGTGTTTTACAATATATGCCTTTACCCATAAATCTTCAACTAAAATTGTCTTTACAAAAGTTAACTTATGAAACTCTAATGCTACGTGTTTCAAATAAATTGAATTTAGAGCCCCTAAGTGGATTTAGGCTATCTTATCAGAGAAATGGTAAAGTTTATTTGTTAACCGACAATGAAGATGTTGAACGATTCATTGCTTACATTAGTGTTTCACAAGATGATGTTACATTGTATGTTGTTGAACCTAGAAGTAGTATTGTTGGGTCAGTAGCGGGTAGTAATCAACTAAGTTTTTCTCAAAACCCACAACCTTTCTCTAATCCAAATCCCAATCAACTTTCAGCACCAAATTCCGGTTTTCGTATTGACCAGTTAGACGATGATGAGCCAACAGAAAAAATTGTGAGTACTAGTCAGTATTCGAAATTTGGTCTTGGTCAATATCCGGACTTTGATATTGGTCAATACACGGATTTTGATGATGTTTCAGAAGAAGAAACAGACCATGCGTGTAATGATATTGATATTGGTCAATACCCGAATTTTGATGATGAAACAGCCGTTGCCGAAGAATGTAATGTTGATGATAATGAGGAGGAAGTTACGACTGTGAATGAACATGTTGAACATCCATTCTGTAATTCATATAATCCTGAAGAAGAAAAAGAAGAAGAAAAAGTCCCCGAAGAAAAGAAAATGCCACGGGCGTATAACTGGAATATGCCAGAATTACTTCAGATACCGGAAGAAGAGTTGATAAAGAAAGCAGTTGATTGTTACACAAAAGTTATTCGTATCAAGAAAGATGATTGTTTTGATACAAAGGAAGACTTGAAGATAGCTTTATATACGAAATGTGTGGAAGATGGCTATCAACTAAAAGTTAACAAATCAAGCAAAGATCGTTTCGAACAAGGTGTATGATTGACAAAAACTGTACGTGGCGTATGATTGCAAAGAGAATAAAAGATTGCAAAATGTTTCAAGTTAGGACTTTTATTGATAAACATACATGTTCAAGAACCCAAGTTTTTCCTCACCATAGACATGCAAACAAAAAGGTGTTGGGTGGTTTTCTGGCTGAGTTAATGTTTTTGAATGGCAGGGTATATCGGGGACATGAAATTATGACTGACATGAATGCTCGGTTCAAGATTAGTATATCATATTCTCAAGCTTGGAGAGCCAAATGTTATGCCTTGGAATTGTTGAGGGGGTCGCCAGAAGCATCGTTTGCCCAACTGCCGGCTTATTGTCACAATTTAAAGCTGAAAAATCCTGGGTCGGTAACTCATATCAAAACAGATAGAGATGGACGCTTTGAGTTGCTGTTTATCGCCATTGGTGCTACGGTTAGTAAATCAATATAATTTTGTTGACTCATTTTTGTTAGTTACATGCATTTCACATTTAAATGATTATATTTCTTGTGTATATTATTTTGTAGATTCGTTCGTTTATTACTTGCATGCGCCCAGTTATTATAGTTGACGGAGCACATTTGAAAGGTCGATACCTTGGAGTAAACTTATTAGCAGTAGCCATGGATGCTAACAATGGGATATTGCCAATAGCTTACGGGGTTGGCAAATCTGAAACCTCTGATTCATGGACATGGTTTATGGGGCATCTTAGGGATTGCATAGGTCCTATTAGCAATCTGACAATCATATCCGATAGGGCAAACTCAATTGACAACGCTGTTAGAAGGTGTTTCCCAGATGCTTTTCATGGACTTTGTGGTGTTCATTTGTATAGAAATCTAAAATCAAGGTCTGCTGGTATAAAAAGCACAAATGGACATACTGGAAGGCTGTAAAAGCTTATCGGGAAGTGGATTTCAATAAGCATATAAATTGTTTAAGACGTGTTTTGCCTCAGTGTGCTCAAACACTAGAAGATGTCGGGTTTGAAAGATGGTCAAGAGTACATCAACTTGGAGCAAGATATGGTTTCATGACGTCTAATAGTGCAGAATCAATCAACGCTCTAAGTCGTCATTCCCGGAAATTACCCATTACTATGTTAATGGAGTTTTTCGAGCCTCTATTCAACAGTGGTACTACAAGAAAAGAACCATGCAGGTATTATTTCTTTGAATTCGTAACTTATCATATTTATATATTTTACTAAGTATTGTTTATTTAAATTTACAGGAACATTGGAACATCGTGTTACACCATGGACTGAAAAAAGATAACGAAACGTGTTGTGAAGTCAACGTCATGGAGAGTTGAACCATGTTCAAACACTTTGTTTCAAGTACTGGATAATAACTTAAATGGGCTAGTCGATCTAAATGCAAAGACGTGTAGTTGTATGAAATGGCAAACATCTGGTTATCCGTGTGGCCATGTTATAAAAGTTGCTCTTCATTTAAACCAAGATGATTCAAGCGCATACGCTATGGATTGCTACACTACAGAAGTTTATCGACAGACTTATGCCGAGATTGTCTACCCTATTCCACATCCTTCTGAGTGGGACATACCAGATGACTTACAAACAGTTTTGCCACCAGCCATGGACAGAAGGCTACCTGGCCGACCAAAAAGTCACGATCGTATACCGTCTAAGGGTGAAGAGAAGAAGAGATCGACATGTAGTCGGTGCAAGGAAAGTGGTCATACAAGGTTGACATGTGGATCACCAGTGCCATCAAAATCATCTTTTCCTCTACCAAAATATGGATCCTCATCAAATCCAAAGCTCATATGGTGTGAACTTTGTATTATGTAAACGTTGTTATTCAGTTGTATTATGTAAACGTTTTAACATTTAACATTTTATGTGTATTATGTAAACGTTGCCATCAAAAGCTCATATGCAAACGTTGTATTATGTGGATTTTATGTGTGAACTTTTAACATTTTCAGTTGAATTAATGACTCAGGCCAACCATTTTGACTTAACCAACTCTTGTTATTCAGTTGTTATCACTATTAGGCATGCATTTGACTATCGCAACACGGAAAATACAATCGCAACGCGAAATGAAAATCCCAACATGAAAATCGCAATGCGGAAATGAAAATCGCAACGAGAGAATCGCAATGCGAAATGAAAATCGCAATGCGAAATGAAAATCGCAACGAGAGAATCGCAATGCGAAATGAAAATCACAATGCGAAA